AAGTTAGTAGTTGCTCATTAGAGTGTTAGTTTACTTGCTCTTCAAAAATATGAGTTTGCTTTGTTGTAGAGAAGCCATCTATAAAATAGAGTATGTGAGTTTGGTTTGATGGGTTAGAAAAAAAGAATAATTATGAATTAAAATATAATAATTATGTAAATTAATTGCAGTAATGAAAATTTATATTTTATAAAAATTGTAATTTAGAATTATTGTTAATTATCTTTAATAATATTTCAATTGATTAACCTATTTAAATTTATTATAATTTGATTTTTCTATTATTTAAGATATTTTATTTATTATTTTCATTTCGTAATGTAGAATTTTAAACCGACAAAGTATAAAATCAGATAAAAGAAATTATTTAAAGATATTTGTTGCTTGCAGATATTATTTTAAAATCAGATATTATTTTATTACAATTTATGAATTTTTATTAATTATTACGATTTTTAAAATTTGTTTACAATAATGGTGAGTAATTATTAAGATTTTATCTATGTAATTGATGTAAAATATTGACTTTAAACCTATAAAAATAGTTTGGATGATTTGTTATGGACTTAGTTAAAAATGTATCATGGACAGGAAAAATCATATTATATAATATATACAAGAAAAAAGAAAATATTTAATATGAAAATTATTTATATTTAAAATATAATTAATAAAAATAAATATTTATTTAATATTACACCTGATTTATCTTTAATGTTAAAAAATTTAATTTTTTAAATATGATTTTTCTTTTAGTATTCAAAATTTATGTGGTTGTTTTTATTAAATTTATTTGAGTTTTCTTTTTAAAAATATAGGTAATATATTAACTATAATTACAAAATAAAATATAATAAATGATATTAAAATTTAGTGTTTTTTTTAATGATAAAACACTAGCAGTTATATTAAAAGGTGTTATAAATATTAGTTTTTGATAAAAGAATATGAAATAAATATCATAGAAAAATACATAAGTTTTTTTTTATGAAAAAGAAAATTTATTATTCTTTTTAAAATTTTATTATTATTTATTATTATTTATTATTTTATTTAATTAGTACACATAAAATTTTATCACCGCATCAAAAATAAATTTTGTCTCTTCATTCATAAAAAATAAT